GCTTGTTTTTACATATGTACTTGCTAATATATTGAACAAAGTGAGCAAAAGTATATAAGAAAATTATTGGTAGAACAAAGCGAAACAGTAAAGTTCCAATAATGAACCAATTAGTAGGCCAATTATTATCTATCAATGCTGTACTTAATTGAAAACTGAAAAGTGCTTCAACTACACTGAAAATATGGGCTTTGCCACTTGCCAGGGAACTTATTATTTATAGTTACATTTCTTTTGCTCTACAATTATGGATAATTCAAATTAGTGAATGCATTAGATACTTTTTCAATGACCAGAAAGTTTTTGATAGTTGGTATAATTTTTTCTTCGATGAAAGGCTGAAAACTTGATAATATTTATAGTGATTCCATTAAACATTAATATTGATCTTCAAATGAGACCTGAACTCGGATTATTATATAACACTATCTTTAACCAATTGAGCAAACAATACTTTGCCATTTTGATATTCTTAGGTTCAAATGTTTGGCATACATAGTTAATTATCTTTCAGATGCGTATCTAATTTTTTATTTATTTGGGAAACATGCAAGGGGATGCAACCCACATAATATAGGGTCTACTGAAATGGAGTTTATGTTAAATTCTAGAGAGCGTGTATGATTAGAGGAATGATTGTTACATAAAATCATTATGGCATCATTGATTTGAAGTTCGTATATTAGACTCTATTTAATTAAAATTTTTAACTAGTTTTGATCATGTCTAATTGTCTATGTGGCGACCCGACAAGGGCCACACCGCCACACCAATGAACGAAACCAATATGGTGCTCGTACACTCACGAGGTTTACTTTTGCTACTCTTATTTTGTGACGACATGACCCATCAAATATGATAGATGTTTTATGTAAACATATATAAAACAAACTATTTAGGAAAATAAATATCCTAGAAATCTATGATCTAGATGATACGTCGTAGAGTTCACATTTTGGGAACACCTCTTTCTTTTTTTTCTTGGATCCGTAGATGAAGTGATATCAGTCTGTGTAACGTTTGATCGTTAACAAATATTTTTTTAAATAATTATTTATTGACAAAATTCTAGAATAATAAGGAATGAATTTGTAGTACTTTTATAATGTCTAAAAATGAAAAAAGGGAAATATCTAGTTTGATGCTCATTGCAGTGATCGTGAAGTGTGTATATATTTTCCATAATAAACAAATTTATGGCATAAATTAATATAGCAAAACTATCAAACTACACCTACTCGTTAAAAATAGATGGCCCTGATCATATAAAATGATATAGAACCAACTTTTGATTATAAACTTATATGATCCTAATTAATTATGAGAATGGCTTGCAGATTTGATCATAGCTTCGATATGCAGTTGGTTTATATAATTTAGAGTGGGGAGGACGTGTGGGATGGTGAGCCAGCAGGTGATTGTCACTTGTTGTCTTGTAGTGAGACAACTCTCATTAGCTAGTCATGTTCAAAAAAAAAACTCTCATTAGCTAGTCATTTTTAGATAATTAGAACTAATAATTAAATACGATTAGGGGGATGCTTAATTTTGGGGTCCTTTCCAACTCTTTCTCACGACCTTATTGCCGGTCTATTTTTAATTATTCATTAATACACACCATTTTTCGTTTGCACGTGCATTACACTGTATAAATTGTAATTAAGATACTTTTTTAACTTAAACAATGTTTGAAAATGTACTTGTGGCAATACTTTATTTTAAAATTGAGATTCGTGTTATAATATGTTTTCCCTAACAGGTTAATTTTATTTTTTGAAAACTTACAATTATGACGATAGAATATGGAGGGATGGGGTCGTAGCGTAATGGTTCATAATTACGGTATTAGTTCTTTTTTTTTACAGTTTAATCCTCTAATTTTTTTTCTATTACTGGCACTTCTAAATTTTGATGATGATATTTTTTTCCGATAAATTTAGATTAATTGAAAAAAACAACATTTTTACACAAATTATTATGTAGAGGTAAGCAGGTGAATATTAAATGAAGTAACATGAATTTTAGAAGAAAAAAAAGTATTTGAACATTTTCATTAATCGTTATGTACTTGCCATTAATAAACAAATTCAAGCTACTATGCATAACATAATTCTCTTTTCTACGGTTGTGACGTTAGGTTCCTTGGAATTATGATCTTAATTTTTAATTTTTGCCTTTGCATTAGATAAATATCCGTGTAGACATATAAATTTCTTTTATTATAATAGATCTTTGGTCTGATAAATTAGTTAATAGTAGCAAATTTTAGTCATTTGCGATTTCAAAAGGATATGCGAACCAATAGATATATCGTACATATCATCATATTTCAAAAAGAAGGTGTATGCGGATATAAGAAATCGCAAAACATATTGACTACTTTCCTGTGAAAGCAAAAACCTAAATTGTTCAAGAGAATGAAAAAGTAAACCTTTTGACACAGAGGTGGTGTTAGCGTCAGTGTGTTTCCTAAATAGACGCATAGTCGCCAAACATGCCATAAGATTAGTTTCTCCACATTCTAATAAAATATGAATCCAAAATACTTCTTCATCTCTTCTTTGTCTGATTTCTTCTTCTTCCTCTTTTCAATCATCCAACCTCTCTGCTTCATCCTCCGCAGCATCACTGTCGAACCATCATCCTCTCAAAATTGATAAAGAGACATCGTTTAGAGGAAGGAGCTACAAATGGCTGAGGTATCATTGTCAATAGTAAATAAACCTGATTCGTATACATCTCATCCTTGCCATGCTACGTACATGAAAGTGGCATAATTTACTAATCCCACACCAGCAACTCCTCAACATCTGACATTGCTTGTGCCATCGTCTTACTACCGATACCAAATCTACATTCTCTCCTCGCTCCTCTGTCCTCTTGGTGTCTATCTAAAATACCTCCCACAAACCCTAACTACCACCATGCTGCCCAAGTGGGTGTGGTCGAGTGGTTATTGAGCTGTGTGGGATGTTACCCCATTCACCCGGCTTCGATCCCCATGAGAAACAAAAACACATTCATTTGGGAAGTCTGGGCTTGGGCCAAAAGTCCATGCAGTTTATCTGGTAGTTCGGTAACAGGCGATCCGACTATCCCTGGCATTAGTCGGAAGGCAATTCAAACTCGGATAGACAGTGTGGTAACCAGTCCACACTATAACATTTCGGTGTGTTCTTACCAGGAGCCGACCGAATCAACCGATAGGGTATATAAAAAAAAACTACCACCATGCTATCTTTATTAAGTTACTTTAGTCAGAATTTCTCGTCCTCCATGTTTGTATAAACGATGCCATGACAGCCTTGAGATTGATGGTTAATATAGTCTTAGCAAGCTTTTTAAAGCATCAAAGTAACCATAGTTCTTGATTCTCTTTTTGTACCGAATAATTCAACATGTAACACCACGTATAGGTGATGATTACCTGAGACAAATTTTGAAATGATTGACAAGGTAAGATTATTACGTGTTACTATCATAAACCACATAAATTAGGCATAGAATTTTTACAAGTGGTGATGAAACCCTGAAGTTACTCCTTGGTAATGCCCATTGTGATTTAAGCTTTGCTATTAATCCCTTGAACAACCTTCATATAAACATATTTCAAACGATTGCTCAAAACAATAAAACAACTTGACAGATATTCATAGACCATAGTTATCTTTTCTTAAGCTGTTTACATTCAGGAAATAACGTTAAATGAAAAATTAGCGAGACTTAATCGATATCATAAAAATTTAAGAAAAATCAAAAGCACATAAATTGTAGATTTTTTTTTTCTTGATATGTATAGAATATAAATTCTCCATTTTAGAACTTTAACAACACCTCGAAAAGAAAACAGAAAAAAGGATATAGCCAATCAAAACGTTCAAAACTAAGATTAGTCTTAGAGATTTGTAACTTATAAAGGTTGTAGAAAAAGTAACTGAGATTTCACTGTTTTATGTTTTGTGATGGAAACCTTGGTACTCATCTTCCTCCTCTTGGCCTTCGTATGCATTATTCCTTCATTCACCTCATATCCATCTCGATCCCACATCCTCCTCTTAGTCACTGCTCGATTCATATCGTCTGCCTTACCCATTGCAACAAAGTTCCTGATCGCCATCACCATCATATCCACTGCTCGTTATCACTAATCCTTCTTTCGATTATGTCTTCAATTATTAAGGAGTAAAACACTTATATTTTTCTAAAGAGGCTAAAATTTTGTTATTCTGAGGGATTAGAGAAAATTATATACGTGTACAGAATAGAGTCATCAATTATGATTAGAGTAGTCATATCAATTTCTATTGAAATTCTATATGGTTTCTTTTTTGGAAGAATATTTATGTTTCTAGATAATCTAAAAAAAATTGAAAATCGAGGTCGATTAATGAAGTAGTTAATTTTTTTTTGTTTTTTTATTAATGTTGATGTGTCATAAAGAGGAGAGCTGATGGTGTCAAGTTCTTGTGAAACATACTGACTCTTTATATAATAGATTGTTGATCTTATGTATTTTCAATATGGATTTAAGCTTAGTTTGTCATTTCAAACAGACATGTTTCAGCCATAAAACAAATAAAAATTTGCGGTAACACAACACCAAGTTTTGATAATTTCATTGAGTTTCAAAAACAGAAATTTCATTCGTTCTACTTTACCGTTCAAATACCATCCAAAATGAATTGAGATTGGCATGCAAGAAATCCTAGTCACAACTACTTTTGTAACTCGTTCACATTCCCGTTAATTACTAATCATATTACTTTTCATGTAAAAGTTTTAAGTCAGATAATAATAATTATTATTTTTAAATACAGACATTTTTGAAATTCTACTGAGGAGATTTGTTGAAGCTAATGTATAAATTTTGTTAAACTTATAATACATATGTCGATTTTAAATCGTCAGTTGAGATAACGTTTTATACAATGGGTCTTGGCCCCTGAAGTGGCCGGCCCAGAAACAACTTAGGACGCCTTGTCGTTTCTCTTAATCACTAGAAAAAACTGTATGCTGTTTTTTGCTTATAGTCTTACAAACAGACAACTTCAAATCAGTCATCCCCACGTTGCGAAAATCCGATCTACGTCTCTCTCTCTCCAATCTTCCTGCGCCACAGAATTCTCGATTTTCTCCAAATCTCGGCGACCTTTGATCAAACGGCGATCGCCGATTTCCGGTAAAGATGAATGACGGAGATGTGTCGAGGCAGATCCAGCAGATGGTGAGATTTATCCGCCAAGAGGCGGAGGAGAAGGCAAACGAGATCTCGGTCTCCGCTGAAGAAGTACGTTTCTTAGTGTTCTGTTTCGAGATCTTCTGATCTCCTCTCTATTTCAATGGCGATTCGATTTTGGTATACAATGGTCATAAAAGGTGGTGTTTTTTTCTCGTCTGACTATTATCGATCTGGTTATTTGAAAATCTGTAGGAATTCAACATCGAGAAACTGCAGCTAGTTGAGGCGGAGAAGAAGAAGATCAGGCAAGATTATGAGAAGAAGGAGAAGCAAGCTGACGTGCGCAAGAAGATGTGAGTTTTATTTGCTTAACCGATCGCTTAGTTTCTGATTTCACTCCTTGATCTACATTTAGTTTTAGTAGGATCACCTTCTGTTCTGGATTACGATATCTCTGACCTTTGAAACATAGAAGTATATGATTTACAGATTCAGAGTTTTTACTTGATTTTTAACTTGTAATTTGCATAGTTTCTCTTGATTGATGAACAAAGATTAGTCTAATTTAGTCTGGTAGACCAAATTAGAGATATTTAACTTGATTAAAGCTGTCATTTGAGTAATTGTTCTAACTCAATATTTGGCAGTGGAGAACTTCAGCAAAAATAACAATGTCATACATGCTTTTTCAGTGATTACTCGATGCAGCTAAATGCTTCAAGGATCAAAGTTCTTCAAGCGCAGGATGATATTGTCAATGCTATGAAAGACAAAGCAGCAAAGGATCTTCTGAACGTGAGTAGTGATGCGAATGCCTACAAACAGCTTCTTAAGGCTCTGATTGTTCAGGTTGGTACTTCAAACAAAACAGAGTCTCCCTCATACGTGATACGTTCAAATGATTGTGCTATTGCTTTGGCAAACTCATTCTTTTGTGGTCTTTATCCAAATGATTATGCTATTTCCAAAACCTTTTGCTCTGTTAAAGATTCTGTCTTGTATTGTTGCAGTGTTTGCTTCGGTTGAAAGAACCATCTGTGTTGTTGCGTTGTCGTAAAGAGGACTTGGGCTTCGTTGAATCTGTTCTCGATGACGCAAAGGAGGAGTATGCTGGTAAAGCAAAGGTTCATGCACCAGAGGTTGCTGTAGACACAGAAATTTTCCTTCCGGGTCCTCCTAAATCTCATGATTCACATGATCTCCACTGGTAAAATTCATCTTTCTCATACACAGAAAAGGATTTATCGTTGTTTCGATCATGCTTGATATAGCTACATGTATTTTGAACTTGTTAATAGTGCTGGAGGTGTTGTGTTAGCTTCTCGTGATGGGAAAATTGTGTGCGAGAACACTCTTGATGCGCGTCTTGATGTGGCCTTCCGTATGAAACTTCCAGTGGTATGAAACTATTTTTTTTTTGCTTTCTGTGATTTATCAGTCACTGTTCTAGTTTTGATTTTTTTTACATTGGTTCTCTGATTCACTCAGTTTTTTTTTGTTCACAACAGATCCGTAGGTCGTTGTTCGGCCAAGTTGCTGCCTAATGAATGAAAGAGAGAGAGAGAGAGAGATGTGATTCAAACCGGTTTGTGTTTGGTTATATAACCCATTTGGGAAAGATTTCTCTTTGTTGTGATTCTTTGTGTTCTGCAAAAACTTTATACTTTGATGCCAAAAACCCTATCGAACTCTTCGGTTTTTCGTATGTATTTTTTCCTCCTTCCTCTGAGTGTTATTATCATGGTTATAAAAATAAATAAAGAATCGAAAAGAGACTTCTTTTTTTTTCTCCTTCTTTTCTTCTAAAGATTTATGCTTATATAGTTATATTTGTTGATTTTAGGTTCTTATTAGTTGACTAGTCGAGATGAAGAATTAGTTGTTTTCTCTTATTCATCTGATTTGAACATTTTTCACAATATTTCTTTATCTACAGATGATTCTCACTCCTTAACCAAGCAAACCAGAATCTTTCAAAATGGGTAAAAGATATAGGAAATATCTGTCTTGCCAATTAGAGTTGAACTGAGTAAGAAACAATGGTTTGGTAAACACAAAAAGATATATGAAAAAATTGTGTTGCCAATTAGAGTTGATCAGTCCATTCTTAATTAATCCTTTCATTTGCAACATCACAACCAATGTCAATGTGTTTGGTTTTATCATACCAGATTATTGGTGATGTGAATGGCGGTAGTATAGCAACAACACAGAACAACAGATTGACGTTGAGGAAATCTCAACTCTTTGAGAACATGGACGAGCAATTCAACTTCACAAACACCCGAACTCCTTATGCTAGTCCATTAATTTGATATTAATGAGATCAAAGAGGAACCAAGAAACATACCAAAAACCCTGAAGTAGAGACTTTGTAGACGTGAGTGAGTCCACACAATATGCCAACAAAATCAAACTTTTCTGCCTATTGCTTCTTCAGTCTACAATTCGTGAAAATAAACACTAACCTTATCGTCTTCGTTAATTAAGATTGGTATCAGAAAACAAGAAAAAAAAAAATCGATCGTTGTAGCAAACAAACTCGAATAAAGATTTTGTTAGAGTATTTTTGTTTGGGCTAAGAATGTTATGGACTTGTGTTTAGCCTCTCTTTTTAGTGAATTTGGTTATATATATTCTAATTATTCCTATTTACTTTGTTTTATTAAGAGTTGGTTTGAGAAAACCTAGTCGATAGAGAGAGCTAGGTCACAAACCAAAGCTGAAGAAGATCGAGATTGATTCCACTCTAGATAATTAGGAATGAAGGAAGGATTTGTGGTCTCCTCTATAGCTCGGTGATTCTTGATTTGGGCCTAACTATGTAGATGTCACTTCCGTATGACCTCATCGTGGATATCGTGGCACGTGTGCCGAGAAGCTATTATCCGATAATCTCTCTTGTTTCAAAGAGTTTCCAATCACTCGTTGCTTCGCCTGAGCTAGACAAGAGACGATCCTCCTTAGGTTGCTCCGAACACTGTCTATATGCTGTCCTCTACAGCTCAAAAACCGGTGTCTAACGTTTGTGTATTCTCTGCCGGAGAGCCAACAGCAACCGGTTGGTCATTATCCAGTCGCTTCCTCTTATGCCTTCCTTTGGAATGTACATTGCCGTGGGCTCCAAGATATATGTGGTGGGAGGAATGTATAATAGGGAATTTATATTAGGTGCGTTAAGCATCGACTGTAGATCTCACACGGTGCAGCGCATCTCTAACACTCCTATGTGCATGAAATATAATACGGTCGCTGAAATCATCAACGGTAAGATTTACGTAATCGATTCGGAGGAAATCATGGTGTTGGATACAGAAACTCAAATGTGGGAGCCTGAGATTAAAAAGCCTGACGTGAAGCTAATGGGCTTGTTCACTTCTGTGGTGATGGAGGATAAGATTTACATGAGAGATTGTCATGGTAGCTTTGTTTATGAGCCAAAGGAAAGTAGATGGGAATTGGAGAAGGTGCTGAATTCTAAGTATTGGCAGAATGCGTGTGTCGTTGACGATGTATTGTACTATTATGATGGTTACGAGAAAAAGTTAAGAGCATATGATCCAAATCAGAGGCGCTGGAGAGTGGTGAAAGGTGTGGAAGAATTGGTGAGCAAGAATACGTGGTGTTCATATTGGTCGTCCACGTGGAGTTACGATGGGAAATTGGCTATGTTCTTTGAAAAAGATCATGATGCGGAGAAGGTAACAGTGGATATTTGGTGTGCGGAGATTGCTTTGGAAAAACGCCAAGGAGGAGAGATTTGGGGTAAAGTGGAGATGTGCGACATTGTGATGGAGGAGGAGCAAATGGGTTCTGGCATTGTGAAATGCTTAGCTGTTATGGTTTGATGCAGACAAGTTTCCACCCAATTCCTTACTTAGATTTGTGTTGTTTTTACTATTTAAATTTGTGGGTGGAAGTTTGCTGAATTCCTTACTTTTAAATAATAACATTCAAATTTAAGTGTTTTGATAAAAATCCATAATATATTTGGGAATGAATTTCTTAGTGTATGAATATATTCAAGGACAACGTCGAGAGGTTTCAGAGTCCCAATCTTATAAAACCTCTCTCAATATTATTTTTAATTATGAGTGATGTAGCTAAAATCTACTTTTATCTTTGTTTTTTTTCACATAACATAATTTTTAATTAATTACTCATGATAATTAATCTCTGCAACTTGTTCTTTGATTCCCTTAGCAGTAAGTTGAGATTTTCTCTCTGCTCTTATCAAATTGATATAATAGAGAAGGGAAAGAGAAGTTTGAGGGAAACTGTACAAAACTTACAACGTACAAGACCAACAGGATCACAAACCACTATTGTTTGCTTCTCATGTTCGATGAGAACGTAAGTTAAAACGAACAAAAGAGTTTAGAGTGAAATGAATAGTATAGTTTCTCTTGATTTATAGATTCGGAGTTCAGGAACAAAAGAGTTTAGAGTGAAAAAAGGAATATATGACTTATAGATTCGGAGTTTTTACTTTATTTCAACTTGTAATTTACATATATACTAGTTTCTCTTGATTGATGAACAAATAAAAATTAGTCTGGTCTAGTCTGATAAACAAAATTAATTACATTTACTTGATTAGAGCTGCTATTTGACTAATTGGTATAATACAAGATTATGGTTTACTAGGTGTGTCCAGCTTTATGATATATTCAAAGAATTGAAACAATATGTATGCTTTCTAATTCTTTAATTTTGATCGGAGAGCTGAAGTCCAAATTTTATATGTACTTTTTTTTCCTATGAAAATTGTCAAATATCTTTTTTCACATGATAGACTTGATATATAGTTCATGCAAAACAGTCTTTTCCTTTATCAAAAAAAAAAAAAAACAGAACAATCTTTTACAAAAGAAAAAAACAGATCAGTGGAAAACTAAGCAAAAAATAACTATGTATTCCGTATAAGTACTCCCAGTGGTATGTGACTGTATCAGACAGTCACTTTTCTAGTTTTACTTTCTTACCTTAGTTCTCGGATTCGCACAATATTTTTGTTCACAGATCCGTAGGTCGTTATTTGGCCAAATTGCTGCCTAATGAATGAAAGATTATCCAAACGTCATTTTTGTTTCAGACTCGAAGACCTTAGTGGATGGTTTTGGTGAGGAGAATCCATGGCCTTCTCTTCACGCGATACAGCACGATATATAGTTCGGTTTTGTTTTAAATATCCTAAAACACTTTTATTTTGCGGTTACAAGTTTGTTGAATTGGTTAAATAAAATAAAATTACTCGGATTTGAGTGCTTTGTGAAAAAATCCGTAATGTTTGGTAATGGATTTTTGTAGTGCATGAACTATATATATAAGGAAAAAGTCGAGAGGTTTCAAAGTCCCAATCTAATAAAACCTCTCTCAATAATTACTCGTTATGAGTGGAGTAGGAGCTAGAATCTTTTTATTTTATTTTTGTCACAGAACATAGAGCTTTTAATTACACATCATAATTAATCTCTGCAACTTGTTCTTTGATTCCAATATCTACCATATAGCACATTGATATGGTAGTTAAGGGAAATTGAAGTAGAGAACTTTTGGGTGATTAGGATCGTTGGCTCTTAAGCCAAACCTTCTATTATGGTATATTCATCAACCAAAAACGTTGCCATAGCTTGCTTGAACTCCTTAAAAAAAAAAAAACATGAATTTCGTCGAAACACAGTCCTTAACTTTGTCTAATGAGAATTGAAAACATAATTCTTCTTACTTCTTCACTTTGGAAACTTCAGTTGACTTAGTGGTTTTTTTGACCTCTCTATAGGGCACTGAGATACATATTGGTTTCAGCTGAGGCACAAATGTTCATCATCAGCAAAGCCTAAAACACATACAAAAAGATCAAAGCATAGAGTAAGCATTCAATTTTTCAGGTTCCGTGCAAGATGATCAGGATCACAAAACCTTAAGACTTGTAAAAGGGATTCACTAATGTTTGGTTCTCATGTTCGGTTAGGACGTCAGTGACTTACTGAGTTATAAACAAAAGAGTTTAGGGGCTAATACGATTCTATGATGATCAATTTTGCCAAAAATTGAGTTCAGATTCTTAGCTATCTAAAAACAATATTTACTACTCCTGAGGAATTTTTTTTTTTTTTTTTTCACGTAACTTTTTACCTGTTGACACAAAACTAGACCAGCCATCATTGCTCCAAAACTTGAAGGGCTGTTTCAGCATCATCAAACTTTGGTAGCGGAACATGGCAACCTCCAACCATTAGCATGGCCATGGCTGATGACATACCGCCAATATGAACTAATGACAGTGTATGCAAATAAACCACCAATAAGAAGCATTCAGCTCAATAGAATTAACTGAAGACAACAGATAAATGGCGTACATCATCCTTACCGTAGCCAACAATAACAATGACGACACAGTTCTATAAGACAAAGTTGTAGTCATCTAATTCGTAAAACAAACTAGGACCCTCTCGTCTTCGTGAATAAATATTATTAACGATGAGAACTTGTTTTTAAATGGTTTAGATCAGAACCAAAAAAGAATATCAATCGTTGTAGCAAACAAACTCTCAAATTAAGATTTGGTTTGGGCTAAGAATGTTATGGACCTGGGTTTATCTTTTCTTTTTAGTAAATTGCATTAAACATTTCAATTTTTCCTATTATTTATATGACTAAATTTTTCATCCACACTAGGTGTGGGTATGTTTTTAAATACTATTTTGATAAAAAATTATACAATCAATTATATTTACTAAGATATTACTTTATATATATTAATTAAAAGTAATAATATGTCTAAACAAAATTGCAGTTTTAATCCTAAAAATTATATCTAATTTGTGAAGTTTCATAGTCTTATTTTAAATATATATATGTTCAGTTTAAAAAACTTATAATTTGATATAATATTTATAATTTAGTATACTAAAACTAACTAAAAGTGTAACAAAGTAATCAAATGCTATTTAATAATTATAATAATGATACAAATATTAAAAGTATATTTTAGTTCTACAAATAAAAAAAATCATTGTTTTTCAACATTTTAGTTTCATCTTGATACGTTTTGTATAAAATAACAAAAAAAGTAATATAAGAATTATTTTACTTTCTTAACTAGTATAATCAATAAAAATTTCTTATTTAATATACTACATTAAAAAAACTAATAATTACATTTTTACTTTTAATTCATGACAATTTTTGTCATGTATCATATTATTTATGGTAATTTTTAATGATTTTGAATGATTATATCTTATTTCTTTTAACCAAAGTGAATAAGTTTTTTAGCTTATTTAATTTCATTCTCGTTATCTATATTTTATAGAATATAAAAAGAGCATTTTATTCTTCTTCTTTAGCTACTTTAATCAATACAATTTTTTAATTTAATTTATAAATATAAAAGTAAACTAATAAGCACAAATCTTTCGTATTTAAGAAAAAAATAATTTTGAAACCAAAACAATATATGATTAAAGAATGAACTTTGAAATAAATTAATAATAATAAAAACCGACAAAGTAATATACTTTTTATTTACCTGGAATATATAGATGTCAAAATTTTGTCCGGTGACATATATTGGTGGTGGTTAATTGTCAATGGTTATTCGATGAGATCATAAACCTAGGTGACGATGATTCAATTCTCATTCTTAAAGATTTGTAAAGAATATTAAAGTAGCAAATATTATTTTATAGATGAGAAAATTGGTTTTTGTAAAAAAATTATCTTCATTGTAATCGTCTTTTTCAATCTATGGATAAATTTTTTCTGTTATTTTTATTTTTATTTATTTTCATCATAGCATAGTTTTGATTAAAGTAGTCAAAATTAATACAACTTACATAAAAAATTCAGTAAATGAATCATATAAAACAACTCAAAACAAAAAAAATAATATTACACTAATCTATAGCAATCATAAGCTGTATTTAGGGGATTTTTGATTCTCTCGTGAGGGCAAGTCTACTGCAAAACAAGAAAGCGTATGAAAGCCTGGAAAACACGATGGAGGTGTGTTTTCCGAAGGCTCTCCGATGCTCAAGTCAGAGAATAACAAAAAAGGACCAATAAGTGGCTAATCAGAGAGAAAAAAGAGATCAGAAAACGAATGAAGGAATATGGGCCGAGCGTTCCTGAGAAAGATGGAATCGACTCGGGCCTTTAGCGGTGATGGGATTTTTACGATGGAAAGAGAAGAAAAGAAGAGTTTGTTGGTGGAAATGCTTCATGGTTTATAGACCACCGTGGAGAGAAAGTGAAGGGATGATCAGAATAGTGATTGAAAAATATAGGATGTTAGGGCTCAAGAATTACAAGTCCCTGTTGGAAGGACAATATATTTATAGGATTTTACCAGACCCGGATTAGTATACTGGATTAACCTGTGGATAGCAAGTCAGGTGGGTCGGTTCATAACCCGGTTTGACTGGGTTCGAATCTTATGCTTGCATCACACTTCTGATGGCGTCACCAACTTTCTTTGGCGTGTTCTGCCTGCCACGAGACCGTTCCTTGGCATGTCCCTTTCGCCCTCAGTTTACAGGCTGGTTCGGCGGTCAGGCGCGGTATGGCTCTTGCTGATCCTCTGCTTTTGCCTCTGGCTCCTATGAAAGGTCGCCGTCGCCTGACACGTGTAAGCAAGACGCATTCAATGCCAATCTCATGGGTTTGTAATGGTATGGGGGTCAGACTAAAGCATATTCCTATTTTTAAATGGAGATAAATTTGAATGGTGTTTCCGGCTTATGGGTTTACTCATACTTGGTCCGGATCCTTCGATATTGGGACCGGGCTGCCGAGACTGCTCGAATGGTTGACTCTACTCTCCGGGTACCTATGCGGGTGACCC